CACTAAATCTAAGTTATTTCCAGTAGCACCAAGACAAACGTTTCTATAAGGGTTCAACCAGGATATGAAGGAGATCACTGTCCGGAGCTGTTTATCACCAGGACATACTTCAAACCCAAGAATCCATTTTGCATTGTTATTGATTGCTGCTAATAAACTGAAGCTTCAAAAATGTTCTTATCTTTTTAAAAAAAGACTACTGGCCACAATCCTTTCCAGCAATACTGAATTTCACAACCTAACCAAATGACATGAAATGAACATCTTTTATCAGTTTTGAATCTATTACTATAATCAACCTGTATGTGGACATGTGTGTATACTTTTTAATACACATGCCTGTACTGTTATGTGCAAATATTAAGGCACCATTGATCAACCTTATGATTCAGCATTTGGAAGCGGTTATTTCTGGGGGGAAATGATATTACAACAAAGTAACTAAAAAGATATCCAAACTTGCTTTTTTCACATTCACCGATTTCTTAGTTTGAACCTGTAAATAATTGTATGTAAAAAGATAGGATAAAGCAGTGTTCACCTTTGTTTCAACTGCTATTCAATTAGGGATTCCATGAAACATTTGGCTTGGTGGTGCCTAAACTTTGGCATACTGATTTCACAGTTTTACATTATTTCTCTATTCCTGTTGAAAACTTGACAGGTAAACTCATGTTTAAATACCTGCCTGAACCAGACAAAAGATGAAAAATGTAATTACAGAAACATTAAAAAGATTTAAATTTGGTCCATGTGACTTCATATTCATAGGAGTGGGGTTTTTAAAAAAAAATCATGAAAAGTTGAAAAAACATGCATTACAAAGTTATATAATTTACCTACTTCCACAAGTATTGAGGCCAGGATGGCTTATTCATGGTTTCATTATGGAGGCTTTGCTTAAAAAAACCCCACACGTTTAGCTGTTGTAGTTGAGAAGGTGTTGATAACAGCATTAAATCTCCTGAACTAAAGATGATGAAAAATAAATCAGTGGGCATGAGGGCAATATCAGCGTAAAACAGAATACTGTATCTTGCACACTTCAGAATCTACATTTCCTAAGAGTACTTTTTGTTCTGATGTTTATTTTCTTTCCGCATCAGAGGTTAATCTGTAGTGCTGGTGCAGAATGAAGTTGAAAACTTCCTGGAAGGCAGAATATCATCATTTATCATTATGGATATTTTGTCTTTGTGGCCACAACCAACCAGTTGGTATCACTGCAAGTTATCAGCTTTGCTTGAAGAGGTCCGAGACTTTGAAAAACCCATTTGTCTTTGCCTAGAGGTAATACTGATCAATTCTATTTGTGATCCTGCCTGGGAACACTTATAAATCAGATATGCATACATTTTCCTCTGGCCCCTTCACACAGTATGCTAAGCTATAAGGAAGCTTGTTCAGTTTTAATACAGCTTACTGAGTGAACCTAGATATGATGGCTTATTTCATAAATCATGACTCGGATAAGATGTGGGCTCATTTTGCCACCTATTCTAATCAACAGGCTGTTGCCTTTGCACAAACCCTTATGCTAATGTGTCAAACATACACTATTAAACACTGGAGACAGAGAGAAAAAAACAGAAAGTAGGAAGTGCTACCACATGAGCCTTGCAGATCAGCTTGTTCTGCCTTGTTTCATGTTTGCTGTAATCATATTTCCCCTTTAAGACTTGGCTGAAGTTATTTGTGTGGTTTTTTTTTTAAGGGGTGGTGACAGGAACTCGGAGAAACAACCACAGATTTTACCTGACAAGCACAAGGAAAGGTAGTGTTAGAGGCTAGAAGGAGCAAGAGAATTAGGAAGCTGGAAAATTTGCCAAAAAAAAAAAAAAAGAAGTAAAGCAGCACCCAGAAAAAGATGAGTAAAGCTCATTAGTGGAAGGGGAAACCATGAGAAGGAAGTAGACTTGGGAGGAGAGGCATAAAGACACAAAGGGAGGATAGGTGGAGAATCAAAAGGAGGTCAAACTAGAAGATGACAAGGAAGTGACAAGAAGAAGCCTGCAGTGAAGGCGGGGAGAGCGAGCAACGGATGGCAGCAAGTGCAGCTGGTTTGTATTGAGGAGGTACTAAAGCCTCTGGCTTGTTTTCCTGCCGTGGTGGTACTATTTCAGCTTGGCCCACAGGATGATGAAGAAGCAGTTTAACTGGATGCGGCAACAGCTCAGTTACCCAAGTGGACGGTAAGGACTAGCTGTTTGGTTGCATTGCTAGACACACTATACAGTTTGGGGTGCTAGAACTTTGTGTTTAAAAGTTCATGTGGATTTAGATTTTGTATCTCTAGCTGAAGGGGAACTACTTTAAAAACTCTCACAGGTTAGCTCTCAATGGAGGTACACCCCCCTCACAAAGTATAATAATGGAGAAACCCTGCCTTTTCCCTTCTGTGGGATTATTTAATTACAGTTTGTTAATGGCTTACAGATCCCTTTCCTATGCCACCACAATGTTAACTCAGCAGGCTTCCAAAAAGCTTCCATGGTGGTTATTTCCCCACAATGGATAGCCCTCATTTCTGCAACCCTGTTAAGACTTCAACACCCAGATTTTGCAACCAAAAGGGGAAAGTGTTCTGATTCCCAATTGTCTAATGAGAACAAAATGATTTTTCTATCATAGCTTGTTGCTGAGCCTGATGCTGTTGATCTCACTGTTGAAATTAAGAAAACCAATGTGGGATGGTGGTTAAAGTGCTGGAGTAGGAGTGTGGGCACTCAGATTCTCGTTCTCCCTTGACTGCAGAAACCAGTTTGATAACCTTGAGCCAATCAATCCCCCTCAACCATTATTGGCTTCAGGCTCTGCAACAAGCTAAATTCTAAACGATTCCTCCTCGCTGCATTATGCATGGTCAGATTCAGCTGTAAGAACCAGGTGAGGCAAGGCCAAACAAGCAGACCCTTAACAGAAGTGCTAAGAACAGCAACTTTGCAATGACAACAATTGGGCTAATCAGAAAAGGATTTCTGGTAGAAAATGTGAAATCCATTCCTATCAGATAATGAGAGAGGGGCTTTATATATATACCTTTTGGGTATATAGTTCAACTGGTGCTCTCTGGTATTAGTGAAACAAAAACTGGATTCTGCAGAACTGAAAACTGCCTTTCCCTGTTGTAATTAAAACTGAAATCTGTGTGTGTGTATGTGTGTGTCTGTGTGTGAACAACCACACACTTTAAAACCTCATCTAACGAGACATAGACACTTTTGCTCTTTCCAAAAATAAAAGCAGAGTTTTTCCCGATAGCAGATTCTGTACAATATTTTACTTGTAGGTGATGAGATTGCTACAACCTAAGCCCGTGGGATGTATGTATAGTATATATATTTATATCCTGAGTCATATCAGTTTCATGTTTAGTCACTTTCTTGAGCAGTTAAAATAGCAGCTATCAATCAAAGGTTTATATTGGTGATCTTAAGTATCCCTGAAATAATAACTGGAGATTGGTAAACTTCTAAAAGATGCAAGCGATAAGTTATAACTGGCAAGGTAGGAAGAATTATGATATTTACAAGAATGCTGGAAAATCATAGGATTCCCCATTCCTGACTTACAAAGAATAAGATACACGCCAAGGGTAAAGGTTTCTATTAGCTCATGTTACCAACCTAGTGTTACTAACCCTGCATCCCCATCACATCATATTTAATCAACATGGCGCAATTAGTCCAACATGCCTGAAAAATACCAGATTAGAAACTTTTTCTTGCCAAATATGAACAAGAGGATGAGCCGCATCTTTGCTACAAGAGAAGGCAGTGTTTGCTTGGCAGGAGGATAGATAACTCTATTGTTTGTTTTATTTTTACTTATTGATTGTATTTATTTGCTACCTATCTAACGGGGGCTATTCTTGTTGTTATTGTTATAATAACTCTGAAGTATTCTTGCCCTCCAAAAGATTTAAATTCAATTCAATTATCTCTGAGGAAGATGGGCAGTTAAAAAAATAGGAAATATGAATAAAATAAATAAATAAATCTGATCCTTCTTGTATTTTTGGGCTGCTTTGCAACCATTCAGCACATCTATAGATGGATAGGATTTTACAAATCCATTCCACCAGCCCAACAATAAGCAACTTAGTGCTTTTCAAATATTTTGATTTCACTTTTCTTGTAATCTCTGATTTTGGTCATGCTGAATGAGGATTTTGAAACACTCCTCCAAGACATAAGGACACCTGGTTGCCTGCACTACACAGTCACAAAGGAGATTCCATGGAGATTGGATGAGGAGGTTTCTTCTTAACTTTGCTCCTGTCGGTTTTTTTTAGGCCGGAAGTGCAGAGAAATTTGACTGCTTACCATACATTAAAAAACACAGGCATGACATCAGTAGAGTTAGGGCACGGTTCTCCTCTCGGGAATCCTGAAGCTGCTTTTCCTGTCTTCCCTGTCTAGTTGTTGTGAAGTTACTCATCCTTCCTATTCCAAGATGGGGGTGAAGAGGATCTTTGCAGACTTGCTCACCTAGGCTAATTGCAGAAAAGGACACCCAAGTATTGTTGATGTTGCATAAAACAAGCAGCAGTGTTAATAACATGTTTTTTAGGTTTAACTATTCTTTGTTTGCAACTTTCATTAAAATGCCAGTGGGATCAGTCAGAACACAATTTAAAAAAAATGCAGGGAGAAGAATTCATCATCTCCCCAGGATGGTTGGGGATATAACCTTGTGAACATTATTTCAACAATGAACCAGCAATTAAGGTACTAAACTATTAACATTATAGCACTTAGCAATAGCATTTACTTACATACTGCTTCAGAGTGCTTTACAGCCCTCTCTAAGTGGTTTACAGTGTCAGCCTCTTGACCCCAACAATCTGGGTCCTCATATTACCCACCACAGAAGGATGGAAGGCTGAGTCAACCTTGAGCCTGGCGAAACCCAAACTGCCAAATTGCTGGCAGTCAATGATCAAGAGAAGCCGCCTGCAGTTTCTATTCTAGCTATTATGATACGTGCTTTAGCAGAGCATTTATTTAAAATGGGATTCTCCCCCCCCCCCGCCCCAATAAGATGTTGCACCCAGTTATAACACTAATTTTCAGCTCATCAATAACTGGTGAATGGATCCATAGCTTATTGGAGTCATCTTAGCCATAAGCTTGTGCATTGCCACCTTTCCCTTTTTTTCAGAGAATAGGAGCTAAAAGTTGAAATGTAAGAATCCGCTTCTTAAGTTGGCAGAGCACTATTACAATATAACAACTGCTGTCCACATAGCCCAATCCTAGACTGAACTACAGTCAATCCTCAACTGAACCAGCATTCATTTAATGATTTTTCAAAGCTACAGCAGTTCTGAAAAAACTTACACTTATGACTGTTGCAGCATCTCTGCAAT